CATTGTTTTGAAGTAAATGTGTCCCAAAGTCTGAAAATCAGTGTGAAGCATTAAGAATTGTCATTCCTGAAAACAGAAAACAGAAGATTTTCTGCAGGTCAGTACTTTTTAGTGTCATAATGAAAAATATGATAATTTTATGTGTGAACAGCTGTTCAAAGCTGTGTCATGTACTGGCTGTGTGTTTGAGTTCTGCTCCAAATGAGCTAAAATTGTCACCGAAACATTTGGTAAAGTTTCGGAAGTGACATGATTGTTTTGGTAGTGACAAAATGGAACGTTCCGTTATTAGTTTTAATAAAATAAACATAATTATAGTATAGGGTCACTCTAAGCAAAAGGATTTCAGTCTAAAGTCCAAGATCAGGTAAAATGCCAAATGTGTTTTTAACTCAACCAGTGGAGTAGAATGATCTGTATCACACGCTGCCTTCATGTGCTGCCAGAATTATTGTGAAAGTGAGTTCTTGGCCTACAGGCTGTGTATGAACGTCATAATTACCAGTAGAAACTTAGGAAACAAGTTTATTCCCCAAGGTTTACTGTTAGTAGTCATAGATTAGACCATTATAGCAACATCTGTCCACTTGGCTGCATCTGGCCACAATCACGTAAATAGTTTGGCTCAAAATCACATGAAACAGATGTGCAAGCTATTACATTCATTCAGCAACTGGTGAACTCCTTTTATAGAATGACTTTGGCTACAGACATCACATTAAAGTCGAACTGTGTGTGTGTGTGTGTGTGTGTGTTTTTGTGTGTGTAGGCTGTATGAGGAGGACCCAGCAGCAGCGGTGTTGGAGTGCGAGTCTCTGTTGGAGGAGGATGATCTGGACCCTGCAGTGAGAGTCGGGGATGTGTTCGGGTTCCTTGTTGAGCACCACTGCCAAAACGGAAACTACCAGAAGGTCAGGAACACAAACAGAACAGTGTGTGTGCGTGTGTGTGTGTGTGTGTGTGTGTGTGTGTGTGGCACTGTTATAACAGTGTGTTAATAATAATACAATAAGTATTTAGTTCTATCCTGGGATTTCAGTCACATGATTTTTTTAGTTGTGGCCACCATATTTGGGATCGAATTTCTGGCTTCGCTGCTCCACACGAACATAACTAGAGGTGAAAATTGGCTAAAATCACTCTCCTTACTCTAGAAGAGAAAAACGTTTCCTCAGCAAAGTCGATAAAACAGGCTGTGATGCTTATACAGTCTCCCCCAAACTCCTAGTCCCACTTAAACTGGCGGAAAAGCTACCGAATTTGTGTTTTCCTGATATATTGATCTCATACTCAGCCCCTCTTCCTATTCTGAGAGTCTCTCAAAGCATTTAACAGCACAGAAGCCCACCGGCTCTTCATGTCAGGGTGGGTAAAGGATCCCATGGCGTTTTATAAAGAGGTGAAACTCTGTCATCATAGGAGGGTAACGACATCAGCTAATTAACACAGATGAGATCAATGCTGGCCTTTAGATAACTTTAGCTGATGTTACCAGCCGAGAGATGAACAGTCGTCCCCCTAACGGAGCTGCAGACAGCCGGCATAACTTTACTCTCTGTTTCTGGAGATTTAAATGACGTCTGAATGGAGAAACATTAACGTTAAATATCAGACTGAATGTTGTGGGTCTGAAAACGACATCGTGTTTCGACAGACGTGATTCTGTAAGTTTGCTGGTGCAGTTACTTCACAGTTCAGCTCCAGTCCTGAAACCCCTGCACTGCATAACTGTGGTTTCCTGGTTAAAATACTGGATATTATCAGCTAATTAATCCCTTCTTGAGCTGAACGAGGTGTGAACAGCAGAGAGAAACACTAAACCATACAGTGCAGGGGCTCCAAGCCTGGAGTGAAAACACTGAATTAAAGGTCTGTGAGTCTCTCGTTATTCTCGGCTTTTGTCGCGTCTTACAGGTGAATCATTCACAAAGCACAGCAAATTAAAAGCATCGCACAGCGCAGTCAGTACCTGATTCTGTCCTCAAAATGGCAGCGACTTTACAGTGTGACATCACGAAACGCGAAAACAGCACTTTTTATTTTAGTTACAAAACCTTAAAGTGTTTTATGTGTTCGAAGAGGTTTCGAAAGAAATGACTGAACGTGGCCGTAGGAGAACGAGGCTGCAGCATCAAAGAACAGTTAAAAGTCTGAAAGCAAAGTTTAAATAATAAAGAAGCGGCCGTGGCCGAATAACGCACCCTTTTTACGGCGAACTCGAACACACTGTGGGTGATGAGCCCAGCTGTCAACCACTAGAACTTTATACTCGCTCCTGTGATGCTGGCGAAGACGAAGCTGAACCCTCCAGGAGCGACAGGCGTTCGCTGGCCGTCATGATTGTTTACCTCTGGACGAGCCGCGTGAAGCTCTGTTCTTTTGCGCATGTGGGTCAGTTTAGGAGCTGATCTGTTCAGACTGATGTCGCATACAGGTCACATTTAAAAGATAATGTGAACAGCCAAACAAAAAAATCTGTTTTGATTTGTTGAGAAAATCAGATTTGGGCCACTTTTACCTGCTGTGTAAACGTAGCCTAAGTGGCAGCTGATTGTCTTGGTTGCAAACAGTAATAATTTTCACTAATTAACCTTTTTAACTCACCGTTAAAAGTAATTGAAGAAAGAAATTTGAATATGCAGAAACTTCATCACTCACGAAACGTGCTCTGTTCACGTTTCGGTAACATTATCTAAGCTGTTTGTGATAAAATGGCCAATGTGAGTGTAGATACACGGTAGAAGTATGTAGTAAAAGTATATACACGCATGCGTATTTCTGTTCCTGTGCATGTGTGCAGGCGTGGGCCAGGCTGGAGGAGCTGAGGCGTTTGTACCCGTCAGTGAACGTGAGTTTATACGTCAGTCAGCAGAGCCTGGAGGCTCTTCAGAACGCCGCCGGGATCCGCCTTCGCCACGGAGACGCCACACACACCCGCAGAGACACAGACAACACACTCACACACAACGGGGAAGACGAGGAGGAGGAGGAGGTGGAGGAGGACGAGAACCTCGACGATTGAGAGGGAGCGTTACAAAAAACACAAACACAAAGTTCAGGGGAACGTTCAGGTACCGCTTTGGTTCACTGTTGCCTTAAACAGACTGGCTGGTATGTATGCCTTCAGGAATCACACACACTGTGAGCTCAGCTGTCTGTGTGTGTGACTGGATTATCAGTTATTTTTTCAAAGCTATTTTATACGTTTTCCAAATTAATGTAATGGAAATGTAATGTTTTATATAATAGCCTGTATAGAAATCTCATTTTAATAAATAATTTTCTATTTGTAATCTTGTTGTTGTGGTGTTTTCATAAGAAACATGCGGATATATTTTAATTTAATGTAGAAAACATTACAGTGAAAAAAGACAATTAAAAATTACAGGGTGCGTTTAAAATAGCATACTACTGTACTACATACTGCACTGAGATATACTGCATGCTGCTCTTCATAGAGGTGGTGTCCAGCGCTGGTCCTGAAGAGCTGCCTTCCAGCAGAGCCTAGTTCCAACCACAATCTGCCACACCTGCCCAAGCAAATCAGCCTCTTCCAACATTCCTGATTGGCTGGATCAGATGTATTAGAGTTAAGTAAGGGTTGGGCAGCTTATTGGATACAAGATGGAACTAAACTCAGCTCTCCAGGACCAGGGTTGGAGACCACTGCTTCATAGTAGTATACAGTATAGTATCCCGTACACGATAGAAGCTGTGCACCGTTCTACAGGACAGGGGCGCGACTAGACTGCCAGCATTAGGAACTGAGCCAATCAGACCATCTCAAGACCCGCCCCATTTTCCTCAGCCCTCCAATCACTGCTTAGATATCACTGCTAGCCACTTTTCAGATCAGGTCTTTAGCAACATGTGTGGATATATTTTGGTCGAGTGAATATAGTTATGAAAGATACCATGACAGACTGGAGAGTGTTGTTTTCTACTCACCTCCAGAACCACAAATAAACTTTAAAAGTGTCAGTTTTGGGTTTGTCTGTGTGGCAAACCCGTGTAGTTTTCTATGTGCGCCATTGTTTACTAAAACATCAGTCATTTCATTCACACAGGAGCCTGAAAAGCCAATGCTGAGCTGATTGGTTGGTTGAGACCAACTTTAGTAAGTTATTACTGTTTTAACCGTGTTTTCTCTGCAGTAGGTTAACTTTATTAAACACCAAACCCACCTCAAGACCAGCAGAGAAAACTGAAGGGGCTTCAGCGTTCAACTGAGTGCAGCATCAGGACAGATTACTTTCTTTTATTCAATTTTTTTGTATCATTAGCTGCGTCCCAATTCAGGGGCTGCGTACGTCGGAGGCTGCATTTGAAGGCTGATTGCGTCACAGCGGCGCGACTAGACTGCCCCATTTCAAAGTCTCCTTCATATGCGGCCGAGAAATGTGTCCTTCTTTAGAGCTGGCAGTGAAGCAACTCCAGCTCTAATAAATGAAAAAATAAAAAACTAAAATCAGAGTTTCTGGCTCCATCTTTAAAATACTTTAAAAGAACTTGACAGGAGCGGCGTGTCGCGGCGCAGCGGTGAGGGTGGGAACAACGGTGCTGTGACGCAAACAGGAAATTCGCCGTAGAGCAGACCGTCTCATTCCAGTTCAGCCTTCATGGGTCTGCACAGACTTCGAAGGACACGGTCTACGGATCCAGCCCCTCATTTGGGACACACTGTATATAAGCCTGAATTCAATTGTTTGGAGCAAACCAGGCCGATACATCAGCAGTTATGTCCTCCTGAAACGACCGTGTTGCATTTTGGGATGCAGTGTATAGTGAAGACAGCTCTGCATGTGTACTGGAATATTTGGCCGGAGTAGTAAATCCGGTATGTGTTCTTGTAGTTCATGGTGATGACATTGTAGAAAATAAACAAATAAATAAATCTACTTTGCATATGAATATATTTAAATTCAATATAGACAACATTACAGTGAAGAACCACTGAGAAATCACTTTTTCAGGAACCTCTCCGCCGTGAAGCTGAAGTGTCAGTCCATGTAGAGGGCAAACACGGTTCCCACGGCAAACAGGTACGGGTTCTCGTACCTCAGGGTGATGAAACTGTCCTTCTCGTGGTCCCACAGTGCTTTGCTGGCGATTTTGACCCCCTGACCCAGCTTCTGACCCACAGACACCTGCACTACGTACCTGTACCTGAGACAGACCACCAACAGACCACCTTTTAGATCACCAGCAGAACACCAGCGTCTTTTAAAGGTTATATATACGACATTTTTAACATTTATATAGCAGCAAACGACTATTTTCTATGTAACTCATTTTTTCCTGTTTCACAGAACCAGTAGGTCAGTTTTGGTTTGTGCTGTTTGCAAATGTTTGTGATAGCAACTGGTCAGCTTCACAGCAGAAACTGTAGCCACAGTTTGCTAACCCAAAGCAGAGATAACACTAGCTACATTACTTGCTGTGTCGCTGTTCACTCTAACGTTATATCATGGTATTTGTACAAAGTTTGCAAAGAATTTTATGGCCACATAGATCTAAAAAAGCATCGTTTGCCTCTGCAGGGAGGGGTGTATTTGTTTTGCTTTTGAGACCAAATACTAACAATCGTTCTTCAGAATCGTATAAATAACATAAATAACAATATATGTATGTATAGTTACTGATTATACCGCAGTATAAAACATGATGATGATGTTTCAAATGTTAACAATTCCAGTAAACAAACACGATTAGCACCTTTTTAAAATGTGCTGGTAGAAGTAAAAACCCTTGCCAGGACAACACATATTTACATTTCTCATTATTTCAGTTGTTTCTATCAAACTGTTTTTTTTTTTTTAACACCAGAAGTTCAACAAAAAGCCTTTAGAATTTCAGTGTGACTTCAATGTGTATTAATTCTTTTTAAACATCTTCAGTATATATTAAATGGAAAATCGAATGTTTTTTAATTATTATTAAATGGCTGAGACATAAACAGAGCGGTTCAGAGTGGTTTGGTGTGAAACGCTCTGTTCTAGAGAAACTTACAGAGTCAGAATTGTTCACAGTGGTGGTGATAGGAACCAGACGTCCACCTCTAAAAGCTCCTCACAGAAAGAGATTACAGTAAATGGTAATGAATTCATTGCCTGATGACTGAGACTTACGACCTACGACCTAAAACCACTGCTTTTGGCCTATTTTTTTTTTAATCCATTCATGGTGGAGGGATACATGCAGGGTGTTGTGAGGCAAAATAGTCCCCAGAAAACGTATTATTCCAGATTTCCCATCATCAACATTCCATATAAACTCAGAAGACTCGTGTTGGTTCACTGGTGGTTCTGGATAGTAAATAAAATGTCTATATCTGTGTTGTAGTCATGGTGACCCCTGGTTCCTATCACCACCACTGTAAAGACATCTGAACCATTTCACACCAAACCACTCTGAATCACTCTGTTTACATCTCAGCAATTGAATTATAAAGACGTTTTTAAAATTTTGGTGAAGTTGCCCTTTATGATGCCGAATCTTCTCCTCAGGAACACAAATCTGAAACTGAATGTGAAACTATGTACAGTTAGGCTGAAGTTCGCCTCCTATTCGCCAGTTCTTACTCGAATTTCCCCGTTCCACCTTAAATGGTGCAGCAGTTACTATAACGCCTGAGGCGCCAGACTGTAACTGCTGCACAATTTAAGGTGGAACGGAAAATTCGAACAAGAAGCTAACAGTGCGATGTTGGTCCTGAATGCCTCACCTTTCAAACACCTGCTCTTTGGCCAAAGCCAGCAGCTGGTCGGCGACTCTACAGGCCAGCCGTCTGCAGCTGTCCTGCTGGTACTGCAGGTCCCCGAAGGCGCCCAGGAGCTCCTCCGCGCCCCGCCGCAGCAGGTGGGGCGCGAACGGGTGGAGAGGCTCCAGTCTGTACGTGTTGGCCAGTTTGGGCCGGAACCCGGCCTGGGCGGAGTCCTCCTCCTCATGACCCCTCCACAGGCTCTCCCTGCGACCCCCCCACAGGCTTTCCCTGCGGCCCCCCCACACGCTCTCCCTGCGGCCCCTCCACAGGCTCATACGGCGCTCCGCCCTCGACTCCATCCCTAAAACTCCGCTGGTCTGCAGTTTCACTGAACCGTCAGTTCACTGAGCTCCTCACTGACCGCTAACCGTCACCGCGCGAGGGCGCACACGGCACGCGCTCAGAGCTCTGTTTGAATTTAAACATTAACGGATTTTCTGAAACTGTGTATTAAATCAGTTTAAACTGGATATGACACTGTTTTAACTGTATTAAATCAGTTTTTACTGTATAGAACACTATTTTAACTATATTAAATCTGTTTTAACTGAATATAACACTATTTTAACTGTATTAAATCAGTTTAAACTGGATATGACACTGTTTTAACTGTATTAAATCAGTTTTTACTGTATAGAACACTATTTTAACTATATTAAATCTGTTTTAACTGAATATAACACTATTTTAACTGTATTAAATCAGTTTAAACTGGATATAACACTATTTTAACCGTACTAAATCAGTTTTTACTGTATAGAACACTATTTTAACTATATTAAATCTGTTTTAACTGAATATAACACTATTTTAACTGTATTAAATCAGTTTAAACTGGATATAATACTATTTTAACTGTATTAAATCAGTTTTTACTGTATAGAACACTATTTTAACTGTATTAAATAAGTTTAAATTGGATATAACACTATTTTAACTGTATTAAATCAGTTTAAACTGAATATAACACTATTTTAACTGTATTAAATAAGTTTAAATTGGATATAACACTATTTTAACCGTATTAAATCAATCTAAACTGAATATAACAGTTTGAACCGTATTAAATCAGTTTAAACTGGATATAACACTATTTTAACTGTATTAAATCAGTTTAAACTGGATATAACACTATTTTAACTGTAAAAAAAATCTGTTTTAACTGAATATAAAACTATTTTAACTGTATTAAATCTGTTTAAACTGGATATAACACTTTTAACTATATTAAATCAGTTTTAACTGGATATAACACTATTTTAACTGTATTAAATCAGTTTAAACTGAATATAACACCGTTTTAACCATATTAAATCAGTTTTTACTGTACAGAACACTATTTTAACTGTAGAAAAATCCATTTTAACTGAATATTACACTATTTTAACCGTATTAAATCACGTTAAACTGCATGTAACACTATTTTAACTGTATTAAATCAGTTTAAACTGGATATAACACCGTTTTAACTATTAAATCAGTTTTAACTGTATATAACACTATTTTAACTATCAGATCAGTCTTTATTGTATATAACACTATTTTAACTGTAAAAAAAAATCAGTTTTAACTGAATATAACACTATTTTAACTATCAAATCAGTTCTAACTGAATATAACACTATTTTAAATATAGAAAAATCAGTTTTAACTGAATATAACTACTTTAACTGTATCAGATCTATCTTTATTGTATATAACACTTTAAACTGTATTAAATCAGTTTAAACTGAATATAACACTATTTTAAATATAGAAAAATCAGTTTTAACTGAATATAACTACTTTAACTGTATCAGATCTATCTTTATTGTATATAACACTTTAAACTGTAAAAAATCAGTTTTAACTGAATATAACACTATTTTAACTACCAAATCAGTTTTAATTGTATATAACACTGTTTTAACTGTATTAAATTAGTTTTTTACAGTATATAACACTGTTTTAACTGTATTAAGTTTTAACCGAATTTAACACAATTTTAACTATACTACATCCACTCATACCAGCACAACACACAATAACACTCCACCACCATGTCAGTGTTACTGCAGTGCTGAGAACGATCCACCACCCAAATAGTACCTGCTCTGTGAGGGTCCATGGGGGTCCTGACCACTGAAGAACAGGGTAAAAGGGGGCTAACAAAGTACGCAGAGAAACAGATGGACTACAGTCTGTAACTGTAGAACTACAAAGTGCACCTATATAGTAAGTGGAGCTGATAAAATGGACAATGAGCGTAGAAACAGGGAGGTGGTCAGAATGTTATGCCTGATGGGTGTATACCGAATAGATCCAAGTTCATTTCACTTTCCTAGGTAGCATTTTTTTTGCTGTACAGTTTAACAAAACAAATAAAACTGTTAAAAACTCTAATAAATGTGCTGGTTAGGAAGACATTAGATATTCCTTTAAGTTTGTGGTTGCTAAGTGAAGCTGGTCAGCAGGTGTGGCCTGTGATCACAGTAACGCGGCTGTGTTTATGGAGACGCCGGTACAGCAGGAGATGGACGCTGAGGGAAAAGTGAGCTCAGCTAATGAGCTTAAAGAACACATCCGCCTTCTGACCCAAGAGAACGTAAGATCATCTCATTATTTGAAACCTTTTTACTCTGAATGAGGCCTGTTTGACTCTCACTGATAAACAAAACACTACATCACTTTAAGAGCTGTTGGTTTGTCACTGAGACTGGACTGAGACCCAGAGGCATGGAGAGTAGTTTAGTCCTCCTGCTGTGAAATAATGACAACGGTAAAAGTATCTTTCAGAAAAACAGCTTCAGTAGAAGTACAAAAGTAAACCTACTGAAGTACTGAGTAACATGAAGAACTGCAGTGACACTTATGAGTCCATCCTGCATCTCTGAGCTCAGGAACTGAAGATTGTTAGTCTTTTTATCTTACCTTTTTGGATCCGTCTGGTCCAAAATCAAACACTAAAGCTACAGAGTGAGAGGAGAGATCAGCAGTAAAGCAGAACAGGAGCTGAACCAGCACAGCAGAACCACATTAAACCCAGAAAAGAGAACTAGAACTGAGTGTTACTGACTTAAATGGGACTTAAGAAAAAATACTCACTAATAACTGACTCACTTGGATCACCACTAGATCCATATTAAAGGGGGACTTCACCTATTTTTCAAAATGTCTGGATAATTAAATGATTCAGATGTAAACAGAGTCATTCAGAGTGGTTTGGTGTGAAACGCTCTGTTCTAGATAAACTTACAGAGTCAGAACTGTTCACAGTGGTGGTTATAGGAACCAGACGTCCCCCTCTAAAAGCTCCCTCACAGAAAGTTCCTACATGAAATGGTTATGAATTCACTGCCTGATGACTGAGACACTGTTTTATGATAGTTTTGTGATAAAGTTTGGCCGAAAACACATTTTAATTAAATTATTTGAGTCCATTCATGGTGGAGGAATATATGAAGGGCGCTGTGAGGCAAAATAGTCCGGTGGGCCTTGTGTTTGACACACGGGATCTGGTCCTTAAAGTCTGTGTAAATGTGGAATCATAACTCCTTTGTCCGTATCATGACCGAAACAAGCTATTATTGATTAATACAACAGTCATTGATTTTCTAGGGGAGATTAAAGGAAAAGAAGAATATAATCTTTTAAATGATGTGATGAATCAGACTATGTTCATATTCTATTTTACTGTTTTCCTTGAGGTCCATATATGACCCTTGTATGATTTTATGTTTCATAATTCCTTTTCACATGTGCCTTTAAGACTGACATATGTAAAAGAGCTTTGTTCTGATTGGCTACTTTGTATCGAGCCTTACTCAAAAAGCACTCAGAGCTGAAACACTCCTTTTAACTTCAGTGTGAGTGGGCGGAGCTAAACTGCTGCAGGCTGAATAGGCGGATATATGACATCGCAAAAACAACGAATTTAAAGTGGCCTGTTTTTGCAGCTTAGTTTCCATTTCTGGACTGAGAAATGGACAGTAAGTTTTGAAGCTTTAACAATGTTTACATAGTAAATTAAACTTTTATTTTGAGAAAGTGAGAAAAACCCTGTTTTCCATGATTTGGGCCCTTTAAAATGATCAGGGACTCAAACCAACAAGGTGAAAAAGGCCATTTTGATTTCAGGTTGACTGTATTAAACCTGTTCAGTGCATGTTACTCCATCATAATTCAGATTTCAGAGCATTTCTCAGTGACAGACTCTCATTGTAATACGATGTGCCAGTTCCATGGCGAAGTTTAAGGCTGTGGTGTGATGTTTGCAGGTGCAGTTACGCAGCAAACTGGGCTCCTTCCAGAGTAAAGTGGCTCAACAGGCCTCCTCCACCAGAGACCTGTCCAACAAACTAGTGCAGAGTGAGGAGGACAAGCTGAAGGTGGGCTTTGGATGAGTCATTTAACCCTCGGAGCTGTTAATGTACAACCCCAAATCCAAAAATATTGGGACAGTGTGTGAAATTCCAAGAAAAAACAGAAAGCAGTGATCATAAATTCTGTTTTATCTGTATTAAATTGAAAATGGTACAAAAACACAGTATTTTTAAATCTACTTATATTATTATTCATTATTTCAACATAGATGGTTAAGATGTAAACAGAGTCATTCAGAGTGGTTTGGTGTGAAACGCTCTGTTCTAGAGAAACTTACAGAGTCAGAACTGTTCACAGTGGTGGTGATAGGAACCAGACGTCCACCTCTAAAAGCTCCCTCACAGAAAGTTCCTACATGAAATGGTTATGAATTCACTGCCTGATGACTGAGACACTGTTGTATGATAGTTTTGTGATAAAGTTTGGCTTCAATTGTATTTTAATCTGTTTATTTTGATTCATTCATGGTGGAGGGATACATGCAGGGCACTGTGAGGAAAAATAGTCCCCAAAGAAAACTTATTATTTCAGATTTTCCACTATTTTCCATCATCAACATTCCATATAAACTCAGAAGACTCGTCTAGGTTCACTGGTGGTTCTGGATAGTAAATAAAATGTCTATATTTGTGTTGTAGTCATGGCGACCCCTGGTTCCTATCACCACCACTGTAAAGACATCTGAACCAATTCACACCAAACCGCTCTGAATGACTTTATTATTGTTCCCCTTTAAGGTTGTGTGTGTGTTCCTGTTGAATACATGATCATGTGTGTGTTGCAGATCTCCAGAGATCTCGTGGATTCACAGATTGAAGCCAATAAAGTGAAAGAGAAATATGAGGAAGAGATATTTGAGCTGCAGAATAAGGTAACACACGCACACACACACACACACACGCACACACACACACACACACACACACACACACACACACACACACACACACACTGAAGGCCAAAGTATGGAAGCTGAAGCACTGTTCTGTAATTGTCCTTTGTTTTATGTTTTCCTTTGAAGTCCACTAACAATGTTTATGTGAGTTTATTACCAAAAACCATCATGATTCATTTTTATGACCCTTTTCAAACCTCTTTTTATACTTAAAACAGGCTGCTTTTGTTACTGTTCCTTTCAGACTGATGTATGTAAATGACCTCTGTTCTGATTGGCTGCCCTGCAATGTGCCTAATTCAAAAAACAGTGCTGTATGATACAGATACTGTATGAATAGGACATTAGTAAATCATTAATACTCACTTTAATCAATGATGGCAGCTTAGAACATATTGTGAATTATGCACCAATTACTGTAAATTATTCAATAATTAATGTGAATTATTCAGTACGTACTGTGACTATTTACTAATTATTGTATATTATTCAATAATTAATATTAATTATTTAGTACCTGCTGTGACTTATTAACTTATTACTGTAAGTTATTCACTAATTACTATTATTCATTACCTGCTGTGACTTATTCACCAATTACTGTAAATTACTCAATAATTACTATTAATTATTCAGTACCTACTGTGAATATTCATTAATAACTGTAAATTACTCAATAATTACTACCAATTATTCAGTGCCTACTGTAAATTATTCAATAATGAAAATGAATTATTCAGTATCTGTTGTGAATTATTTACTTATTAATGCAAATTATTCAGTAATTAATATGAATTATGCAGTATCTGCTGTGATTTATTCACTAATTGATGTAAATTATTCAGTAATTACTAATGATTATTTAGTAGCTACTATTTTCTATGAATATTTGAGTAATTAGTATAAATGTTTCCATAACAACTATAAATTATACAGTGTCTACTATAAATTATTCTGCAACCACTATGAATTATTCAAAAACTACTATATTATTCAGCATCTAATATGAATTATTCAGTGTCTACTATGAATTAATCAGGATCTACTGTGAGTTATTCAGTGTTTACTATGAATTATTCACAAACTAATATAAATTATTCAGTTAATAATTATATAATTGTGACTGCAAATTTACATTATACTAAATTTACATTCATACTAAATGAAAAACATTCAGGTATAAATTACAACATAAGTACAGCATTACCTACAGCACACCTGTCCTTCATAAACTCCGCCTCTGCTCAGGTGCTGTCCCAGGACGGCGTGATTTCGTCTGTGGAGGCGGAGTGCGAGCGGCTGAAGCTGGAGGCCGAGTCCCTGAGGGCGGAGTTAGCGGTCACTCGGGGTCAGGGCCGAGAGCTGGAGGAGGAGTACACAGCCCTGAAGAGTAACTTCCTGAGTGTGAGCGAGGCTCTGGAGCGGGAGATCACGCACTCAGACGAGCTGAGCGAAGAGCTGCTGACGCTCGCACACACACACGACACACTGCTGCGCGAGAGACAGCGCGCACACAAACACACACTCGAGGTGGAGAGGGTCCGAGCGCTGCTCAGCAGGGTCTCGCACCACAGAGTCAGGGTGAGGGACGCATTCTGTCCGCAGGTCACATATGAAACTGCTGCATCAACCTAAACGTGAGTTTAATAGGCCGTGTGAGACAGAGACGAGACAGAGTCCAAATAATGTCGAGACAGAGACGAGACCGAGTCCAAATGATGTCGAGACAGAGACGAGACCGAGTCCAAATTATGTCGAGACAAAAACGAGACCGAGTCCAAAGGATGTCGAGACAGAGACGAGACAAAATCCAAATGATGTCGAGACAGAGACAAAACCGAGTCCAAAGAATTTTGAGACAGCGATGAGACAGTCCAAATGATGTTGAGACAGAGATAATGAGACCAAGACCAAGTCATGAGACCAAGTCCAAATGATGTCGAGACAGAGACAAGACCGAGTCCAATGATGTCGAGACAGAGACGAGACCGAGTCCAAAGGATGTCGAGACAGAGACGAGACAAAATCCAAATGATGTCGAGACAGAGACAAAACCGAGTCCAAAGGATGTCGAGACAGAGACGAGACAAAATCCAAATGATGTCGAGACAGAGACAAAACCGAGTCCAAAGAATTTTGAGACAGCGATGAGACAGTCCAAATGATGTTGAGACAGAGATAATGAGACCAAGACCAAGTCATGAGACCAAGTCCAAATGATGTCGAGACAGAGACAAGACCGAGTCCAATGATGTCGAGACAGAGACGAGACCGAGTCCAAAGGATGTCGAGACAGAGACGAGACAAAATCCAAATGATGTCGAGACAGAGACAAAACCGAGTCCAAAGGATGTCGAGACAGAGATGAGACAGAAACACCAGTGCATTAAAGCCTCATTACAAAGACTACTGACCATCTGAGAGAGTGGAGCTATGGACGGTTTAGGTTAAATGCATTAAAAGGTAGTGTTGTAGTCAAGACCACAAGAGGTGAGTCCTTTGTAGTGGTTTAGGTTGAGACAAGAGTGAGACTGATAAGGATTTTAAGAATATTAAAATAAAAAAAAACTGAAAGTCATTTGTAGTTCATTTTACTTTAATTATCGGTAGTTATACATGATAAAAATGAATAATAATACTATATCTTATAATACAATTAGTGATACAATTATTATAGTAAAACATATTACAAACGCACAATTTTATATTTTGTAAAAACACCTGCCCTTAGCTAGACTACAGAGCAATTTCAGAGTCCAACTTACCCCGAGACCAAGTCCAAATGATGTCGAGGCTGAAATGAGACTGAGTCCAAATGGTGTTGAGGCTGAGACAAGTCTGAGTCCAAATGATGTTGAGGCTGAGACAAGTCTCAGTCCAAATGATGTTGAGACAGACGAGAGCGAGTCCAAATGATGTTGAGGCTGAGACAAGTCTCAGTCCAAATGATGTTGAGGCTGAGACAAGTCTGAGTCCAAATGATGTTGATGATGTTGAGACTGAGACGAGACTGAGTCCTAATGATGTTGAGACTGAGACAAGTCTGAGTCCAAATGATGCTGAGGCTGAGACAAGTCTGAGTCCAAATGATGCTGAGGCTGAGACAAGTCTGAGTCCAAATGATGTTGAGACTGAGACGAGACTGAGTCCAAATGATGTTGAGACAGAGACAGAGTCCAAATGATGTTGAGACTGAGACAAGTCTGAGTCCAAATGGTGTCGAGACAGAGACGAGAGCGAGTCCAAATGGTGTCGAGACAGAGATGAGAGCGAGTCCAAATGGTGTTGAGGCTGAGACAAGTCTCAGTCCAAATGATGCTGAGGCTGAGACAAGTCTGAGTCCAAATGATGTTGAGACGAGACTGAGTTTACGGTCTTGAGCGTGAGATCAGACTCGAGTAATCCAACGCTGTTACAAGCATCAAAATAATTAGTGGCATCACTAATTAAAGCACATATTCACACTTCCTGCCTGCATGTTCTCTGATTGGCTGTGTTCTGTTTCAGCCGGAGGAGCTGAGCCGAGGTCCGTTTGCAGATAAACACACCAACACTCAGCCTGTAAGAACACTCATGCTTTTTGTATCTGTGGTGTCTGTGTGCAGCTGATAAATGTGCTGTTGGTTCCAAACGCCGGGGCTTAATCTGTGGTACAACACTGAGTAGAGATGGATCAAAGGTCAAAGAAAAGATGAGTGCTTCAGAGACTCAGCTCAGCGAGCCTGTTTTAACATGCGTTTCGTGTCCGGATCGTATCCGGATAAACTTTGGCCAGATTCTGTTTACACTTTTCACTAAAATGCATCCCCAGTGTGACCAGATGAGAACTGTATTTGACTTTTCCCACATAAAAAACACATCAGCACATTCGCTGTGTCTGTTTTACTTCTGTTTATTTCTCCTGGTTATGATACGACTTTGCAAGCCTTGCTTAGACGCTTTCATCGGCCTTGGGTGCATGAAGGCTGTTGGTTTGTGTCTAATTCAGCCTCGCGTATCCTCCGTCATTCGTTTCATTCTTTACTGTCTCACCTGATAGTCGGCGCCTGGCAGACGCATTTCCACTCTTGTGATTGTTACAGATACGAAAACACTCTGTTTACAGTCATGTTAAATCCGTCTCTGACCACCTCCAAACGTGGTTTGAGTGATCAGATATAATCCGATCATAAATGCGTCCTGAGGGTGTTTACATGGCTTTTATTGGGGTCAAGCGAAAAATCCGAACGTGATCGGGTCACTGAAAACGCATGTTGATGTAATGTGTGAACAGGCCCAGGGTGTGCTGTCCGAATAACAATCTACATGATTTTTAGCTCAATTTTAACCCCAGTTTGCCCCTTTCAATAAATTTTCACACAAATCAAAAGTGGTTTTCCACAGACTGGAGCTCGGTCAGAAGCAATCGTCTAAGTAGATGATCATCGAGTGTGCGCACCCTCACAACAAAAAAAAATAACTATAACTGTAAATTCTGTAAAACGTGTTGTAAAAGACTGTCACCCAAAATTTTATATATATATCAATCATTCATTCAAAGTATTTATTTAGGTTGAACAAAACTATTTAATTTATTTTTAATTAAGATCTAAAGAGCAAAAAGACTTACAGTGTGCAAAGAGCAGAAAGAGAAAACTGTAAAACACACAGTGTGACTGTTTTACAGTCCGGTGGGTTTAGTTTGGTGAAGTTATGTGCTTAATTCATCTGCATGTGTACATGTATTAATATCTTCTAGGGGATCCAGAATGAGCTGAGGGAGGAGCTAGAGAGGATGAGGAGGAGTTATGAAGAACAGCAAAGACGACTGGAGGAGAAAATGTGAGACTCAGTCGCTGCAGTAGATTTACCCTGATGGTGTTTATCTTTTTGGCCTATGAAAAAGTTAGAGCACAACTTATATTTCATGTTTTATTTCTTTGTCTAATATGTAAAAAAAGACAATTTTACACAAAAATGTGCAGAAAAATGCCAGATTTAAATGTGTTCCCGTTTAGAGGGTGGGTTAACTTTTTTAAAAAATGTCATCTTTATGTTCAAAGTTTTGCGTAAGAAAACATACAGATCATAACTCTTGATTCTGCACACCTGTGACTGAGATTCTCATTGTCTCAGAGTGTCTATGGGAAAAGATCTGCAGGAGAATAAGAGAGCGATCCGCAACACACAGCAGGAGCTAGCCCAGCAGTCAGCCGTGAGTACACACACACACACACACACACACACACTCACACACACACATACACACACATACACACACACCCACACATACATACACACACACACATACACACACACACACACCCACACACACACACACACACACATACACACATACACACACATACGGGTCATTCTACAGAAACGCCCATTTTTGTGTCCCTAGCGTTTACAGATATATTACACTTGAAAAACATGTTAGGGTTACAATTTATTTCCATTTTAAAATAAAACAATACGTTATTTTAACAGTTACAGCTTCTTGAGCCAATAATGGTTTTAAATCAATTATCTAGAATTCCAAGCACCACAGAAGAGCTCGTCCTCACAGTCATGTGTAAAAGCTGAGGCCATATTTTGAAGAAAAAAAACACATTTTTCTACAATTTTAACTACAATAATCTATACAGGACTATGAAATATATGATTTAAATGACATAAATTAAACAAATGGCAAATAAATATTATAAAATACATAATGAAAGCTGTGGTCCCCAGGAGTCGTGTCACTGGTGTTACTGCGTAACAAAAATCTCTTATTTTGGAATAAAAGTCACACTGATGACATCACTCAACTTCCTTTTACCTGTTTTCTGAGGATCTATGAAGAAAAGCGCATGGTGAGTCCACTGTGTCTTTCAGTTATCAGAGATTTTCTCATTTAGCTCATGATTTCATATGAAGCTTTTAGCTGAAGTCACTGGTGTGACCGACTTTGTGACCGGCCGTTTTGTAAAATACATTGTTCATTAAAAATGTCTCTGGTGTTTCCTTTATTATGTGTAACACCAATGAGGATCGGTAACACCAGTGACTCCTATGGAGAGATAGAAAAGTGGACGTTTCTGTAGAATGACCCATACATATAGTGTGAGAATTGGCCTTTTGTAGAAAGAGTTCAGCAGACAGTCAGTTTTACCCAGTTTCCCCAGATTTTTTCGATCAGCCAAGACATGTTTGCTTCAATAATTTTGCACTGAAGCTACGAGGCTTATGTGGCTAATAAGTACTGGAAGCTTATGTACACCAATTAGCACACATTTACCTTTAAAACTGGACAAACGTATGGACAAAACTCAGACTTCTACATGGCTACTACTGTTTTAGCTGTGCTAATGAACTTTAGTCCACAGCTGAGACTGAAATTGACCCCCACACTCATAAACCCTCCCTCAGTAGTACTGCGCTATATAACATACACTATACTGAGTGCTGGTTGGTTGGCGAGCGGAGCATCTCATTGGCTGTTCGCCCTCACTGACATCATGAACATACATGAGGCGCCGTTTTAACCTCCTATAACTGGAGTTTAAAAGCTCTTAAAAATATAATGTTAGTGTTAAAATGTTCTATGCTGCTCTTTGTTCAGGAAATAAATGTATTATTTTATATTAAAAATGTTTAAGCACTTATGAACAATGATTTTGCTCAAATGCTCCATCTTAACCCATTCATTTTGGACTCGCTCGAGAGCGCCCTCTAACGTTTGAGAAACCCGGAAGTCATACTAAGTCATAATTCTCCTCTCTACAAGTTCTCTGATCAGCATTAGACAGACTCAGTAATTCCTCATCTACACAAAACCCAGAACACAGTCACGGGCTAGCCCCACCTTCAGAATAAGAGTCCTTGCAGAAGAACACGCTGAATAAATACTGCAGAACTATTACCTAAAAATGAACACGCACGTGTTATTGAACACACTATAACAGTCACTAGTGTCCTAAAACGCAGATAGGAGTCACAGGTGTGTCAGAGACCACATAAATACATCTGTTAGATATTACAGAACAGCTCCACACAGTTTGAGGAAAGTGTATAATGATTTAGACATAAAATTAGCGCCATGCTAATTGGTGGGTATAGGCTTCCATTACTTGTTAGCTACTTTAGCCTCGTAGTTCCAGTATAAAATTAAAGAAGCAAACATAAGACACCGAACACGTCGTGGCCGGTCAACTAAATGTGGAGATTAAGGGAGAATCTGTGGACTCTTCTGCCAAACTGTTACTTCATCTGATTACAGTTTCTTGTTCTGCTGGTTGTGATGTGCCTCTTAAAGAGCTCTCCCTGAGCTGTCTGTTAGCAGCTTTCCACCAGGGGGCGCTGCTGTATCATTTACGTGTCTGATTGTTTGTGTGAAGGCTCTGATTAGCTCTCAGTTCCAGCTGAAGGAGGTGGAGGCTGAAAACTCCAAACTGCAGAATCACCTGAAGGAGATCAACCAGGAGTACAGAGCACGACTCACGCACTACATACACGACGTCACGGTACACACACACACACACACACACACACACACACACACACACACACACACACACCCTGATCAAAGGCATCTTTTATTGATTTCTTGAAGTGAAAAGAGCTAAACACAACCTCCGCACACTGTGCTTTAAAAATAAAAATGTTTTTGTAAATATTGATGTTCTGTTTTTTTTATATTTGATTAACTTGAAATACAAAAAAATAAATACTATTTGTGTCATGCAAATCAGTACTACCAATTCAGTACTTAGTAAGACCCCTTTTGGCAGATATCACAGCTTGCAAATGCTTTTTGTAGCCAGCTAGTAGTCTCTCTGTTTCTGTTTTAGGAATTTTCTCCCCCTCTTCCTTGGGGAACGCTTGTAGTTTAGCAGTATCCTTTGCACACGCAGCATGTTTAGGATCTACCCACAGATTTTCGATGATGTTCAGGTCAGGGGGGCTGTGAGGAACATTCGAAAAGCCTCAGCTTAGGTCTCTTTAAGTAGTTCAGTGTTGGATTTTGAGGTGTGTTTTGGATCATTGTCCTGTTGTGGACGGCAGCTTCTTTTCAGCTTCAGCTTTTTTCACTGACTGTGTCAAATTTGATTCCATAATATGCAGATATTTAGTGGAATTCATTCTGTATCTGAGAGTTTTCTAGTCTTCCAGATTTTGCTTTGACTGCCACCGATTTGTCTTGCTTTTAGGGCATCAGGGAGTTTCCTTTTGTAGCTAATTTATTAGGTGTCTGAACTGCTGTACATGCAACAATTATTATTTATATAATAGTAATTTACATAATTAATATTTATGCTTGAAATATTTTTTAAAATAATTTCAGCTAATCAAGTATAAAGTTACCACGCATAAACATCTGCAGAAAAATGTTATTTGTAGTTTGTTGCAGAGGTTGTTTTTACTGCTTTTCACTGCAAAAGTAACATGCACACAGGTCAGTCTTTCACACACACAGGTCAGTTTGTTTACACAGTCATGCTGTAATACATGCAGAATACAATATGATGCAATACGATAGACTTTATTGTCAGATTTCTCTGAAAGTTGTCTTGCATCACAGTGGGTCCACTGAGGGAAGGTGGTGGGGGGGAAGGTTTCAAAGACAGACAAACAGTCAATAACATAACACACAACAAATCCCAACAATACAAATTTCACCATCCCAAATTCCACAATGCTCTGCACTACCCCCTGAGAAGTCTGAGTCAAAGTCAAGTCAAAGTTTATTTATATAGCACTTTTTACAGCAGGTGTTGTCACAAAGCAGCTTTGCAGAAAAATCCACGTCCGGGCCCCCATGAGCGTCGCCAATGGTGACAGTGGCAAGGAAAAACTCCCTAAGAGCAAGAAGAAGAAACCTTGAGAGGAACCAAGACTCAAAAGGGGAACCCATCCTCCTCTGGTCGACACCGGATAGTAAACAGCATTAGAATAAAATATTAGAAAACAAACGGGGAAAAACAGGCAGAGCAATGGTTAATTAGATTAGTTTCACCCTATAGCACATGCGATTAATCAGACAAAATACTACACACTAATCTTTTCATTCTTTTCTATAGGCTGTGGTAAAACCATCCTCCACAGACTGACCTACAATCTTGTGACAAATTTATATCAATCTAAGCAATCTTGACAGTAGTTTCACCAAAAGACAACTATACCACACATTATTGCATCACACTCTGGATTACTGTAGTGTAAAATAAAAATAAAATCAATTATTGGCTCCCAAAAAGTTTTCTAGTGTCAGCTAGAAAACGTCAAAAGTTTATGTTGCATCAAAATGTCGACATATCTGTCAGAGTCAATGGTGCTTTCACAGATATGCAGGTTGCCACTAATACCCACCACACCAAGACAGATGCTGGATTTAGCACTTTACACTGGTAACAATCTGGATGGTCCTTTTCTTCTTTGGTTTAGAGAACACAACGTCCATTACTTCCATAATCAAGCTGAAAGGTCGACTCATCAGACCACAGTACACATTTCCACTGAGCATCAGTCTATTTCAGATGAGCTCGAGCCCAGAGAAGTCGGCAGCGTTTTTGGACATTGTTGATATGTTATGCACTGTTGAGGCTGAAATACCTGAAAGCCTTGCGGTCACTCATTGAGGAACTTTGTTATTAAACTGTTGGATTATTTGCTGATATATTTTTTGGTAAAGTAGTGAGCCAAACTGGCACATCAAGGACTTGACCTTGATTGCATCACCTGTTAAAGATATTTTAAAGGATATTATATGTCCTTAGTCTTTAATTTCCTCTGTCCCAAAAATTTTGAAACAGGTTGCAGGCATCGATGTGGGTGTATATTTACAAACATATTGTACTATTCAGGTTTAAAGGCAGATCAGAATGGATTTACAGATCACTGCTTTCTGTTTTTATGTGCACAAACTGTGCCAACTTTTTTGGAACTGAAGTTTGTAGAACAAGTAGTTTAATTGTAGTTTATTTATTTGTAGTTAATTGATCTCGTCTCCCCTGTGTGTAGGAGTGTGTTCGTGGTGTGGGTGAGGGTGATGTTAGCGCGCGTCTGAAGGAGTTTGTAGACTCTATGCTGAGGGAGGTGAGGGGGTCGTATCGCTCCAGAGAGGAACAGCTAACCAGCACTGTGAAAAACTACCGCAGACGCCTTCAGAAACTCAACAATGCACAACAACAGCTGCTTATTGCATACAGGTACACTTCTATATAGAAACACTCTCAAACACTCAGATGTTATTCACTATAGACTGATTTTCTTGGACATGGGTTAAACCTAGTCTTCAGCTAAGTTTTAATGTCACTGATTCAGTATTAAAAATCCCTTTTAGTCTAGGGTAAGTAATCCTGGTCCAGGAAACCAGTCCTATATGTCTAAAAGCATTCAGACACCTGGTCATATGACTTTTTTACCAAAATCAAGAGTTTGTCTGCCTTTTGTTATCAAGTAAAAAGTAATAATGTAAGGATTTTATTGCGTTCAGCCTCAAGAACATTAGTGAGGTCAGATACTGATGTTGGAGGATTAGTTCTGTATCACAAACGTCACTCCAACTCATCCCAAACGTGTTCAGAAGAGCTTAATCTCTCCACTTTATCCCGAACGTGTTCAATTGAGCTTTATCACTCCAACTCATCCCAAACGTGTTCAGTTGAGCTTAATCTCTCCAACTCATCCCAAATGTGTTCAACTGAGCTTCATCACACCAACTCATCCAAAAGATGTTCAATGGCGCTTCCTCACTCCAACTCATCCCACAGATTTTCAGAAGAGCTTAATTTCTCCAATTTATTCCAAAGGTGTTCAGTGGAGCTCCCTCCCTCCAACTCATCCCAAAGGCGCTCAACAGAACTCCATCACTCCAACTCATCCCAGAGGTGTTCAGTGGTGCTCGATCACTCCAACTCATCCCAGAGGTGTTCATAGGAACTCCGTCACTCCAACTCACCCCCAAGGTGTTCAATGGAGCTTCATCACTCCAACGCATCCCAAAGGTGTTCGGAAGAGCCTAATCTCTCCAACTTATCCCAAAAGTGTTCAATGGAGCTTCATCACTCCAACTCATCTCAAAGGTGTTCAAAAGAGCTAAATTACTCCAACTCATCCTAAAGGTGTTCAGTGGAGCTAGGTTTCTCTTACTCATCCCAAACGGTGGTGCAGTGGGTAGCGCTGTCACCTCACAGCAAGAATGGCCTGGGTTCGATTCCTAGCTGGGCGACCAGGGTCCTTTCTGTGTGGAGTTTGCATGTTCGCCCCGTGTCTGCATGGGTTTCCTCCCACAGTCCAAAGACATGCAGTCAAGCTGACTGGACATGCTAAATTGCCCCTAGGTGTGAGTGTGTGTGTGAATGCATATGTCTGTCTGTCTGCCCTGCGATGGACTGGCGACCTGTCCAGGGTGTATCCTACCTTCCGCCCAATGACAGCTGAGATAGGCTTCAGCACCCCACCGCAACCCAGAAGGATAAGTGGTTTAGATGATGTGTGTGTGTTCAGTGGGGCTCCATCACTCCAACTCATCCCTGAGGTGTCCAGTGGAGCTTCATCACTATAGTGTACTTATTTGTTTTGTATAAAAGACAATTTATTCAAACTGGCCCAAATCTATATCATAACTATATAGGAGGAGAAAAAAACATTGTTACATAGATATGCTAATGAAACATACACCAACAAATATAGAAAGGCTACCTTTAAATAAGTGCAGGTGCATTTTGCCAGAATGCAGCGAGAGCAGATCCTGGCCCGTGCTGACCATGGTCTAGAGGCGGGACCACCTGAGGCCACCTTCAGCCCTGGAGAGTCAGAGATTAGAGGAGAAACTGATAGAGAACTACAGAGGCTGAGAGAGGACAAAGAGAGGCTGGAGAAACAGCTCAGAGCTGCACAGGAGCAGGTGTGTTTACAGATGTGTGTGTGTGTGTGTGCGTGTTTATCGTACAGCACTGCTGATCATATGATCATTTTTATCCTTTAGGTGTCAGTGCTGTCGCAGCCCTCTCAGAGGTAAGTGCTGAGCCGTTTCAGCAGAACATATTTATACTCAAACCTTTTCTAAAACACTGTACCGGTTCTGGCACTTTGAAGCGTTCGTCCGTTTTTTATTCATCATTTTCATGCATGAGATTGCCCAGCAATACAGTGATGTGATACACCGTTAGAAAGCCTGAAATCTCAGGATTTGATTCCAGCAAAACATTTTATAATCCGTTATTCACAGCAGTTACGATCGTCTCATTTGCAAGATAAGTACCAAATAAGCTTAGCAAATCTGTGTGTCCTCATCTTCTAAGCCTCACTGCTCTCCAAGGAGACAACATAATCCAAAACATGTGGTCTGATAACGCGGCAAGAGTCAGAGATCAGTTTAGAGATCTATGAGTCAGGTGGAAATAAACTCCTCCGTTCTAGACTCTGTTACTCTGAGTCAGGAATTCATACAGTTATTCTGATGGCTGGGGAAAATACTTGACAAGGTTGTCTTTCAAACAAGACCAAGATCATGACTGTAGCCCAGAGTATGTGAAAACAGCACCCCCTTTTCTTTGGGTATGCTATTTCAGGCAAAAATGGGGTGACAGTTAACAGGACATATTTTGTTTGTGAAAAATCTAATTTATGCAGTTTTTCCACTCTTATCCCAAATGTAATCAGTCAGCAGAGACGTGTCTGAAATTGTTTCTATTGTTTTAGCACTGGAGCTACAAGGCTAATGTAGCTAACAAGCAATGGAAGCTGACTCCCCACCAATTAGCATGTTGGCAGTAAAAATGGTCAAAATTCAGGCTTATAGTAGGATTGGCTGATATGTCAGATGTTTAATATTAAGATGCTTCAATTTTTTGTACATGAGAAAAAAATAGTAGTGCCGCATTAAAAAAAACAAAAACTTTTTAATAAAAAAATTCACAATATGCACTGCAATAAATCCAATGAAACAGGACTAATTATGCTCTCTTTGTAATGAAACCTGCAGCTGGTCAGTGCTCTTTAAGTACTGCTGTCCACGAAATCCTCAGAAAAGCATATTGTGGTGTAATTTATCACCATAGTGATAAATATCGTCCACCTCGAGCTGCTAATGCTGTTTGTAGCATGCAGCATGCTTTAGTCCATGTTTATAGATGAAGAAGCAATATTCAGACACCAAACATGTCTTGGCTGATTGAGTACACGTGGGGTGATGGCTGAGATAACGTCTGTTAAACGTTTATTAACTGCTGTGCAGACTGAGCGAGGAGGCCTGGACTGACATCAGGAATCAGCTCAGAGACGTCGCCAACACCACACAGGTATCCATGGCAACAAACCTGACCAGTTCCACATGTTTAGACTGACGTTGCCATATCTCCACACGTAATCTACCTGTCTTCTCCTGCAGGAGGGGCAGGAGAGGGAGCGGCTGCAGCTGATCAGCAGGGCGGTGCTGGCGGAGCAGCAGGTGTGTGAGCTGCAGGAGTATGTGGACAATCACCTGGGCAGGTAAAGACAAACCCTCAGACAAAGCTCGTATCTCCAAAATGGTACCTTTACAGGAGAAGGAAAAAACCTTCTTCACTTTTAATGTTAGTCAATGGAACCAGAATTTTTGCCAAGTCATTTTGGGTCGTTTCTTTTGGTCCATTCATCATGAAATTTACACACAATGTAAAGAACAACAGGCATTTTCTAACTATGAAAAAACTGAAAAATGACAAAAATGGAGATATGAGGTTCTTCCAACAGCAGTGATATATAGAGCACTGTGTGAGTGAGTGTGCATGGTGTGTAAATGCGTGCGCATTTGTGTACATATATATATATATATATATATATATATATATACAAATATAGCACGTTTGGAGCAATTTGATAAAGAAATCCAGGGTTTTTTTTAAGATTAAGTGACCCTTATTAGTCCCACAACAGGGAAATTTCACCTCCACATTTAACCCATCTGTGCAGTGAAACACCACACACACACTACTGAACACACACACTAGGGGGCAGTGAGTACACTTGCCCGGAGCGGTGGGCAGCCCTATCCACGGCGCCCGGGGAGCAGTTGGGGGTTAGGTGTCTTGCTCAAGGGCACTTCAGTCATGTGCTGTCGGTTCAGGGGATCAAACCAGCGACCTTCCAGTCACAAGACTGGTTCCCTAACCTCCCACGACTGCCCCCATTCTAAATTACCCTCAATTTAGAAATGAGTCAGGCTGCTACAGGCAAATAGTGGTCACACCACATACTGATGTGGGAATTCTGTTTACGACCTGCCTCCTACCTGCACTCAGTGGCCATTTCATCAGAAACATACATACACATACAAGTATTTGGATGCTTTAACCATTTAACCATTGGTTAAGCTTTAATGAAGTTCTTCAGCTGACTTCATAAAGGGTTGGATTCCTGGTCAGGGATTGAGCCTAGTCCTGGACTACATTTCTGTTTCAATGGAGAATCTCCATTCAGAATGCTGTGTAGTCTATCTGGCAAACTGACCCTAAATTTTTAACAGAATGTTTCAGAGATG